AGCTTCCCGGCCGGCCGTTGTAATTACACGGCCGGCCGGGAGCTTTACATTCAAGAGATCGGGCGTCTCTAGAGACGCTCGATCGCTTGTATTAGCAACTGTCACTGCCGTTGCCTGTCCCGAGATCCACTGTGCCCGATGCGGCCGGGACCGACACCGCTCTGTGACAGGAGATCAAAGGGAGATCAGAATACAAACTCCCTTTGATTTTCTCTCAGTCCCAGAATGCAGGAGGTGATGTATATTACAGTAAATTGGCTATCACATAGGGGACTTCTTAGCCCTCCATGTAATAGCAATAAAGTTGTGTGTAAAAAAAAAAAAAGTAATACAAAAATTAAAGAATCATAAAAAAACAAAGAACCATAAAAAAATAAAACATTTTAAGTCCCCGCCCCCCACATACTCACGCAGATATGCATCGGGTGCGCCTACGTGCGAAAACGACGATTGCGCCTATTGTGCCGCACATGTTACATATCGCCGCAAACGGAGTGAGAGCAATAATTTTAGGGCCATTAATCACTGATAAACACTAAACAGCAGTAAAAGTGTTTTAAGCGTCGCCTATGGGCGTTTTTTGCGATTTTGCGGGCACACGCAATTTTAAGGCTTGACATGTTTGGTGTCTATTTACCCGACGTGATCCCGACTTTTATGTTCTAAAAATATGGGTAAGAATACATGTTTTATAACATAACGTAGGGAAACTTTTTTTTTTACATTTACGGTACTTTTTTAATTACATAGTCAAAAAAATATATATACCTCCAAAAGAAAGCTCTATCTGTGCCCAAAATGTTTTAACATAAATTGCAAGGCTATAGTCAGGTCATGCTGACTGGTGAAATTTTTTACTGACCGGTGAGACACCCTAAAATTTTCCAAGCCCTGAAATGAGGGAATGTTTGGGGTTCTGTCAGCTTGTCTTTCAAAGGCCCAATTTACATATTAAGGCGTGCATGTGGCACGTCCACATAGGGCAGCCCATTCATTTCAATGGCTTGCCCTACACATGACAAAGTGGCAAGGAAGCTAATGTAGCTGTTTGAGCTGCAAGCTTCACATATTTTTGGCAAAAGAAGCAACAACACCTGTCTCCCTTGCCATGTTTGAGGTGCCATTAACACTAAGTTGCCTTTCACATGGCTGATCTAATCTGGTCCACCGGTCAGTTTTTCAGCTAGACCCAATGTATGTCTATGGGCAGCCACGTGGAACCATACGGGAGTCCGTTTACATCCATTTGCCCCTGACTCTGGCCAGGTCTGGAAAAACAAACAGATCAATGATCCATTTCGCTGGACCTGATTGTGACAGATCGGGGGTAATCTGTCTCTATTTACATCCAATTCCCCATAGACAGTAATGGGGTCCTGTAATAGCAGTTTTGCGATGCAGGAAAAAAAAAAACTGTATGGGCACGGATGTCACAGCGGTGACATCTGCTCCATACTGCTCTGATCAGGAGAGGATTTAAGCGTGAAGTCCTCCTCACACTTGGTGGTTGCGCAATGCGTGTCAAAAGCATGCACACATTTACAGAACATGTCAATACCATGTGAAATGCTATTACTTGTAAATGGCACACCAAAAGCTGACGGTAAAGGTGAAACACATGGTCAAAAAGCGTTTGAAGTTTGCAGCTGAAAATGCTGCCTGAGCTTCTTTCCCATTTTTGTTGCACATGCGACAGCTTATTGAAAAGCATGGGCTGACGTGCGGCTGCAAGGCCTGAATAGCATCAAAAAGTGCAACATGCATTTTATACACATTTTGTAAATATACAAAAATTACGCAATATTTTAAGCGCGAATGGGCTTTTTGGAAAGTGTTGTGACGTATCAAACAGCAGTCCCAGCACTTAAACACAACACTATTCACACATGCGCCCACTGCATGCAGGTTCCGGCGTTCTCATGTTGATATGGTGACCTGACGCTCTGACTTTCTATTCTCTTGCTCCCCTCTCGTAGACAGGAAGAGGGCGGGGGCAGAACGGATTGGCTGCTCATGTTTGTCTTCACCCTGACAGATGCGGGCGCGTGGTGTGTGCCTGTCACGGGGTTTGTCAGCTGTCGGGTGACACAGGAAACGGGAAGATGGCGGCGGGGTATAGCGAGCTGCTGATCGGATGGTGCATCTTCGGGGTGATCTTACTGGTAGGCACAACGTGCTGGCCTCTCTAGTGCAGAGTGTGCAAGGAGGTGCCAAGGCTCCTGTGCCCGCCCTTTCAGGAAGTGTGATGGTGGGCGGCGTGGTGTGCTTGTGTTGTGTGATTCATGATAGCTGCGTTGTATGTTCACATGTCATGACAACGTTCTTATTGCATAATGTGACTTCTGATTATGTCAAGCACGTGTTAATCTGTGACAACAGAAGCGAGAGATCAGCTGTGTCGTGGTGACTTGGGTTCTGTTTTAAAGGGACACTAAACTCTGGAGTAAAATCTTCTTTCTTTTTTTTTTTTTTTTTTTAATTACTAATTTGTAGTGAGATTGTAATCCATCATGGGAGTGAGCTTGGAGTGGTGACCACTTTACAACGCACACAGAGACCATCGGGAACAAAAGTAGCCACCCTCCAGAAGGAAGGACAGTGTCAGTATGAATTCAGAGATGATTTGTGGATCTACAGCAGAGTAATACACAAATAAGATACATTTTTGTAAATAGTTAAGGGACTTGAATGCATTTTTAAGATTTAGCAACTGAGTTTAGTGTTACTTGAAGTTTAAAGTGTACGAACAACCCAGAATGCAATTTGTGTAACTACCTTTTTGTCTGTTGTATATAGTAGTGTGAGCTTTTGTCTTTTGATGTTAATAAACCTTTAGGAAATACCTAAGGGCTGGTGCCCCGCCGCAACCAATTAGACTAGGAGGTCCCAGGACCGCGCAATCGGGTGCACACAGTGGTTGCCACTTGGCCCCATTGATTTTAATGGGGTTACATCCGCACGCCAAAACACTGAAAAAAGGTACATGTACATTTTTCTGCGACGCGTGGCTTTTTTTAGCCACGTTCGTGTTGAGTTGCACAGGCGGAAGACCGTGTGATCTGCATAGCAAGACTGGAGTGTCATTAGAAAAGAATGGCACCACCAGTGGTGTGCGACTCTGTGAACGCACGGTTTCGTGCAAGTGTGAACCTTTGGCCAAGTAAATCTGTCACCGACACCCCCCCCCCCCC